AAGAAAGGTTTCTCTGCTTCCATCATGCCCCTATGCCGCTGCCGCTCCCCTCACCGTCTACGTGGGCATGCCTCTTCCACACGGCTCTTCTCAGCCTTCTCTGATGTGGGATTTTGTGAGGATCCTGGGCACACATCTCTGGGTATCCCGATGAGCCCTCGTGGGCTGAATCTATATCCGCGTAGGCGTGATCCTCTTGTGAAATCTCCGCCCCTTCTTCCAGAGGGGTGATGCAGAAGCACTCGTCAGTAACTGCTACAAAGGAGTGTCTCCAGATGGTGTTGCACAGCTGACCTCCTGATCCAAATTTCTGTAAGGCAAAGGCAGATCTGAGCATGGGACGGGCACTCTGTTGCAGTTTTACATGGGCACTGTTGGGTTAAGATGGCGCACTTACTGCTTCTGGTTTATGAGTTATTGAAAGGGGCACATTGCTGTTTGATAAAGGGAGTCCTTTGCATTTTGTCATGACCTTTCTGCTCCCAAATATGTCCATCTCCTGGGGCCATCAAGAGGCAAAATGAGAATTCATCTTGTACTGCTCTGATGTCACCAATTCTGTTTGGTTGTTGCACTTTTATATTTTGGAATTGAAACTCCTATGTACAAGCTGTTTGCTATTCCTTTTATTGTAGGGGTGGGCAACTCTGGTCCTTCAGCTGTTGTGGAACTGGAACTACAAGTCCCACAAGGCATAGCAAGATTCTCACAGGCATGAGTCTCGGAGGCAGATGGATTATGGGATTTGTAGTTAAAGCACAGCTAGAGGGCCGGGGTTGCCCACCCCCGCTTTATCTAGTCCTTTTTGGCCCAAGCAAGGAGCGAGCGGCTGCATAATTAGAGGGCTGCTTCAGGTCTGACGGACCAACAGCACGAGGCCCATGCTGCTCTTAATCTGGTCAAACACAGTGTCAGAACAGTCGCCCACACTGCACTATTATGGTCAATGGGAATCGTCTAATATGCGTTTTCAAACACAGGACTACAATACCAGACCTTACTGAGATGTGACTTTCCCTGACCTCATGGCTCTACTAACTGCCACCTCACGTCCTATATGACTCAGTAACCCTCCATGGGATTCACTTGCAGGGCTTAATCTAGGAAAGTCACACCCCAGTAACAAAGCGAAACTAAATCAGAGAGGAACACATAAGACGTTCTGGTCAATAAAAGTGATTGCAGAAATCTTGTGATATCTAATGGTAGAAACACAAATGTATGACGAAACCTGCTCTGAAATGGTATAGGGAAGAGCCTTACATAATAGGCCTCTGAGTGAAAATGTTAGTTGCCTGGCTATTAAGCTGACCTGCATTCTTTAATATAAAACAAGAATACAGATCAGAACAGGCAGAAGTCCTTATTGGAATACCTGACCCAATGGACTGAAGGTGGAGGTTCCATGTGACTGCTAGAGAACGAGCATTGTCAGAGGTAGAGCTCTGCATCCATTGGGATAAAATAGAGAATTATAGATGGCTGTAGAATGCAACGGGAAGGTCATTGTTTAATAATGGTTTTATTTATATATATATATTATACAGTGGGGGGGGGGACAGAAGGTGAACTAGTCAGAGACCCTTCACCTTGATGGGATAAAAGGGTCTTATAAGAGTCATTATTACCAGAAGGTAAGAGGATCAATGTTCCATTCTACCCACCCCCATCTTGGGATAATTGAATCTCTGCTAAAGGATTTCTCTGTAGTATAATGGGATAACACAGACCTCATATACAATATGGGTAAGAAGGAATGAATCCCCACTGCGGACGCTGCCAATCCAAGTCTGCTAATTCCCCTGGATCATTCATCTTGTATTTATGTTAAGGGGCCATTGCAGGGATTATCAATGAGAACAGATTTTTAAGCTTAAATTATTTAATGTAAAAACAAATTGGATTTAGAAAAGATTAAAAAATAAATGTACAGAAAGAAAACTATGAATGAATGGCACACTCACCTGTGTGTAGGTGATGCAGCCTTTGCTGCAATTGTTTACACTGTTTGTGCATCCTGAGCATATTAAATCTTCTTTACACGCGTCAAACCTGTAAAGACAATGTTAGCAAGGTCAGGTCTATGCATACATTAATGGCTAGACAAGTCTGCTGATCATATCAACCAGTCAATGCGCCATTATATATTACTCCATCCGGGGTTTACACATCTAAAATTCCCATTTTTATATTGTTATTAGCTTGATGATGATGCCATAAAATTCCAAATGTTGTTACCAGGCCAGTAAAATACTAAAGGGTTACTTTAGGCTCATTGGCATCATTGACTTATATGGAAGTTGTCAAGTTTCCTCTTCAGGTTCTCTTCAGAGCACCCCTCCCTTCCCGCTTATACTTACCTTCCCCATCCTCCCCTGCCGCTACATTCATCTGTGGAAGCTCTTGGAAATACCTGATGTCTATGGCATCACTTGACCTTCTATTCCTCCCAGGACTCAATGCATGAGTCTGAGCAGCCATTTGCCAGGCTCGAACACTGTCATGTGGGGGAGGCGAGCAGGTTGTTAGCTCTGATACAAAACTCTATAGTGCTGCAGATTTGCCTAAGTGCTGCCATGCTTTGAACCAGGAAACTACAGGACTTATGGATTTCAGAGGCTCTTAGGGTGGCCTGGAAATTTTGGCAAAGCAACAGTTTAGTTTTAGCAACACCTCCACCACCCAGTAGCACATATTGCCCTTTCCTTTGCTTCCCTAGGGCTCCATTCAGCACCAGAGGAAATGCCCGGTACTTCCAGGTATGAAGGAGCATGTGACAGAGCTGGGCCAATCAGTGCTGCCACGGGTGATTTAATAACTGTGTAAGCTACCACTCCAGCTACTCGTAGCTTGCACAGCCAAAAGAAGCGGAGGGGAACTAAAGGTAGGTTGGTATTGAAGAAGGCTAAATTAAAGTGAACCTGTTACCCTGCCCTGTGTAGGCAACGCTCTGATTCACTTTAAGCAGCGTTGGTTTGTAAAAACAAACCGAGAATTGCAGATACAATATAATTCTTCTGACAGGTACCCTTTAAAACTCAAAAACCGGCCACCTTCATAGGGTGCCTCAGTCATGTCACAGTGACGTGATGGCATAAAATGTGTTGGAGGACATCAACCATATTCACATATCCAGTACATTTAAAGTATACCATAAGTGTATTCTTACCATTGGTCACAGAATCTGTCACAGAGGGGCAGCTCATGTATCCCTGCGACTGATCCGCCCAGGCCCCACTTGGCGATGTGCGGGGAGCAGAGATACATACATTGCACACGGCTCACGTATTCCTCACACCTGGGGGGAGGAAAGGAAGACAGTGTTCTTAGTTGGGCCCTGGCCAGGAACTGTAATTGTTGCCTCTAGTAACTAATTCGATTCTCTTTTATCCGTCTTTGATGATGCAGTTAGAAAATAATTAGTAGGATCTGATGGCTATAGGTAACAAGAACAGTTCCTCCTTTACACAACTGGATACATTATATTCTTAATGAATACATTACCCGGGACTGAGGGGTCCACATCCTTTCCATGGGAAAGGGGCAAATGGAGGGGCATCTATGTGTTCCTGAGAGCAGCAAGAATCTGGAAACAAAAGGAAAAATACATGTCTTAACTGGAGTTGGGTTTTCTCCAAGTTTCCTCATTCTTTACAACCTTAACCCTTGTTTTGTAAGAAATGTTTGTAACCCTAAATGGTCTTATGTGATATCTGAGGCTCGGACAATGCAACCAGGCAACCTGTCAGAAACTGGAGAGACCAGGTACATAAAAAGTATCTGACAAAGGGTCTCTGTGCTGCCTCTAGAAACAAAACAGCTTCTATCTAATTTATAAATCACTTGAAAAAGCCAATCTGGGTACTTGCTATGGGCACTTTCATACCTGAATAGCTTCATATTATCGTCAAACAAAATGATCTCTGATTGATCTTTGAACTGTCTCTATGGCAACCCTGAGTGCAGATAATGAGGGTTGTTTTGGTGAACATCTATCCATCCACAAGGCTACAAGCTACAATGTTAGGATTATGTTTGATGTAGCTAAATTTAGAGACTGCAAATGAGGTGGAAGTTGCATTGATCTGAAGTGGTGGGAGGCAATCTGCAATATAAGTGAAGATGGAGATGTTCTGGACTGTGAAAGCCTGCCCACGGGTCATGGTGTCTTTTTGGATACTGAGGAAACCAGAAGGTTTGAAGTCAGGATGAAGATGAAGCAAACTTGTCTACTAATCAAGACTGAGATGCTTCAAGTATGGATGAAGAAGATGCAGTGTGTTAAAAATGAAAGAGGCCAGCCCCTAAGACTACAAATTAGGATGGAGAGGCGGAGAGAGCAAGCCATTGAGTGTTGTGATGGACAATGGAGAAGGAGCCAGTGTACAAGGCAACAAGTCATTAAATAGATACTTGTTGTTTGCCATTAAGAAGTCCAATTTACATGAAGAGTCCAGTCTACAAGTCAGGATGGAGGTGCTAGACATTCATTTGGAGGAAACCAGTCCGAAGTTCCACGCACAAATCAAGTTTTGACCTGCAAGTTTACATGGTTTCACGTCCGGATAGAGATGCTAGGAGTAGAGTAGGTGAAGTAAGACAATTCCTAATGAAGAATAATGATTAGGTGTTTACCAATCTCCAGTCATGGATAGAGATGAAGGACGTTTAGGGGGGGGGTCCAGCCTGCAAGGCAGGAGCTAAAGATGCAGGTGCTGGATGATGAAATTGACTACTTCTGACTACTGGTAGGCTACATGTCATAATGAAGATGCTGTGAAATGTTAAATAAAGCTGAGAAGATGCTAAATGCATTGGGGTCAAAGGAAGCCAGTCTACAACGCTAGGCTGGGAATGCTGGGTGTTAGGATGGAGAAAGCCAGTCTACAACTCTAGGCTGGGAATGCTGGGTGTTAGGATGGAGGAAGCCAGTCTACAACTCTAGGCTGGGGATGCTGGGTGTTAGGATGGAGAAAGCCAGTCTACAACTCTAGGCTGGGGATGCTGGGTGTTAGGATGGAGGAAGCCAGTCTACAACTCTAGGCTGGGAATGCTGGGTGTTAGGATGGAGGAAGCCAGTCTACAAGGCCACATTTTGTAGTGTAGATGCCTCCTGCTTAGGTAGGAATAGTGAGTAGATCCTTTTTACTCTTTCATTTTATCATTTAGTCAATAAACATACTGCACTAGGAGGTGGCCCCTGCTCTGGGTTTTGTTGCATGTTGTCATGATTCCAGTGACTCCCTGGTTGAGAGGTCAGCCCCGTGATTCTTAGCATTGGAAATCCCGCGATCGTACGATAATCGTGCAGTGTATGGAAGGCGTGCGACCGTTTCTACTGTACGGTCGCACATCTTACGTCGAACAAGCAGGCTGGAAAACCCGCCGAGAATCGTACAATTCTCAGCGAGTTAGTGGCCTGCTTGTTCGACAACTGCCCGTTTGCAGTCATCGGAACCCCGCCCCTCATTGCAGTCATCGCAAGCCCGCCCCTCAGGGGGGCGGGCTTGCGATGATAGCAAGTACGGTCTGCCTGTCCAAGATGGGCAGATCGTACGTTTTTTTTAAGTACTTTACAACCCTCGCAAGGGTTGTAAAGTGTATGGCCACCTTTACAAGAATAGGTCAGCTGTGACATAACATGCATTGTGGTGTGCACAAGAATAGTGACATCCCCTCCACCGCCACCCCCCACTTCCATCACCTAGTGCCACAGGTCACACTCACGGCTAGAATACTGCTGGCACTTTGTTAGTCCGAATTCTGCGCTGGCAGCCGCCTTCTGCTTCCTCTCTTCAAGACATCTGTCAGGATGTCCCCAAGATGTGGAGAACAGGAGAAAGGGGAGAATAGAAAGTAGCAATGGCGACATCCTATCCTAACAGAGAGGAAGAAAACAAAATCATAGGCCAGGAGAAAGAAGCAAAATCTTCCAGTTTTCTGTAAAAGTTTCCAGTAATCATCTATAGAATGACTTTGTACCGTATAAGAAGTATTACAGTAACCGGCACCTTGAGTGTCTTATTACCCCTGTAACATCATATTACAGTAACCCGGCTCCTGAGTGTCTTATTACCCCTGTAACATCATATTACAGTAACCCGGCTCCTGAGTGTCTTATTACCCCTGTAACATCCTATTACAGTAACCCGGCTCCCGAGTGTCTTATCACCCCTGTAACATCATATTACAGTAACCCGGCTCCTGAGTGTCTTATTACCCCTGTAACATCATATTACAGTAACCCGGCTCCTGAGTGTCTTATTACCCCTGTAACATCTTATTACAGTAACCCGGCTCCTGAGTGTCTTATTACCTCTGTAACATCTTATTACAGTAACCGGCACCTGAGTGTCTTATTACCCCTGTAACATCATATTACAGTAACCCGGCTCCCGAGTGTCTTATTACCCCTGTAACATCATGTTACAGTAACCCGGCTCCTGAGTGTCTTATTACCCCAGTAACATCATATTACAGTAACCCGGCTCCGGAGCTTAACCTGTTGCTCGTCATCATTCAATGAGTCACTCTCTGTCCCTTATGTCACTGCTGATATCTCTTTCGTAGTTGCCTTCAAAGGCTTTAGCCTGCAGATTAGCCTAGTTATATTTATATCTAACCTTTTTCCTGTCTGCTCAGCTAGACACTCCGCCTGCTCTTCAGTCAAACACAAAACTCAGATTCTTGCAAGTACAAGACAAAACAATGCCCCAGCGGCAGCACATATTCATGTACCCTTCTATTCTCTATAACTCTGTTTAGCCAGCCGGAGTGAGAACACATACCTGGTACTTCTGGGTTTTGGGGATCATGTGACTCTCTCTCCATCTGTCCAAATTGCCAATGAACCACTCTGGCACCCAGCGCTGCCCTATAGGGAGGTGAGAGAATCTATAGCCCTGTGCAAGTTCTAAGTCACCCCTTAGAGCTTACACAGGGCTAACTCTTTTCACTTCCGCCATATGGGGCAGCGGAGGAGTGAAGTCAAGATGAGTATGTGCCGCTGTTAAGGGACTGCCATTAAAGCAAACCTGTCACTCTGACCTGCTCCTTGATTTTCACCTGATGATTCTGCCAGTAATACACTTCCTGTTCTAGGGTTGACAATGCTCACTCACTGTACTCCATCCATATAACAACAATGTCACCCTAGGACAGGGCTACAGAACATTCCTCTTGCCTCATCTCCATAACATAGTGTTCTGTAGCTCACAGAAATGAATAGGGTGGGACTGGTAACACTGCAGAGTATGCAAGACACATGACGGCACTAGATTTCAACAGGATCAACTGGTATTTTTTATTTGCACCTATTGAACAGAGATCACAAAACACTTTTGTTGGTGTATTTATTAGGCCAAAAGGGAGCAAATAAGAGAAGCTCATTGTTAGGGTTTACATAAACCTTAACAGCCCTCTGATATTGGCCACACAGGCAGTGCATTGTTTTCAATGCATCAGGTGACTCAAAGGGGTTAATTTACAAAAGTACACCCCATGATGGCGCTGATGAGTCATTTCTATACCGCTCAGCCTCCTGCAATGTCCTGTCCGGTGGGGACCATACAGCCTCTTCCCACGTTGGACCACATCTCCAATAAGTCTATACCGGTGGGTGGAAGTCCAGCTCCCAATGAACTTCAATGTCTGTGCCTGGGTGTAAGTCTCAAAAACCTCAGCAATGTGGTCACATCTCTACCCCAGATTCCTCCTGGTCAATCACAAAGCAAATGGCCCCAGGCTCCCTTTTGTGATTGGCCAGGAGGTGAGGAGGATGGAGATGCAACCGCAGTAATGAGGTCTATGAGACCTGCAGCCGGGCACGAATTTGTCATTCCACCCGCAGCTATACTGATGATTTGGGGGGGACAGGGAGGCAGATGGAATTATGACAGGTCAGCTAACAGCAAAGGGACTCTACAACTTAATCGATGGCAGTAATTGTGTCGTGCCTTTCCCTGCAACTTATTTCTCGCTGCCAATGGTGTCACACTTTCCTGCAAGTAGAGACCTTTAAACAACCACATGCTGGAATAGGGAACCATAGCTTAGCGGGGTGATGATGGGTGCAGGCAAAGTAGACCCATCTACTATACAATGTCTTTGCATCTGCGGGCACTCATACCATATAGTTGTTGGTAGATCTAAAGGAGATTGTACAATCAGATTGTATAGTATATGGGTAAGCTGGAGATCTAAGGAAAACACTGCAGCACCTGGAATGTTTTGCTGTCATATAAGGACCCATATAGGGTCTAAAGACTGCAGTGCAGGTACACTTATTCCCAGTCCCCTGCCCTACCTGTTGCGCTCTCTCTCTCGCTGTCTCTCTCTCTCCTCTGCAGTCTCGCTGCCTCTATCCGCATACATAATCCCAGCTGAGTCAGCCAGCATCACCTCTCCTGTACCACTTTCTCCCATCACACAGCTCCCTATTATCTGCATCACCCTCCCATCTCATCAATGCAAGCTGCGTCCTTTGCTTAAAATCCCCCCCAATGCCTTATAATATATACTGTCCATAGGTCCTCTTACCTATAACGTCGTGTCCCTGGGATTGTAACCTGGCTCCGTCACTCTGTGTTGTGTCTCCCTGATGCAGTGATGCTGATGCTACGGGGAGTGGATGTAAAGATTCTCTCCAAGTCCCCCCCTTCTTCCCCTCCATCATATCTCATTATCTCCTCCCTGCACCTCCCAGCCGCCCTCCCTCTGGAAACTTATATTATATCATTCCTGTACGATATAACCTATTCAGACAGTGATGATGCCACGTCTATACAATATAACTGACATTGAGAATACTCACGTCACTCCTGTAAGGTTCGGTATGTTTGGAAAGCAGTCACAACATTAACTTGTATTTGGAGAGAACTGATGATGATGAAACTCTGGCTAATCTCTTTTAAGGAATTCATTGTTGCCTGTGGTGTCCCCATGGAGGGTATTTTCTCTGCACTTCCTTTGTGGTCACCGGAACAGGAAGTGATCATAATCTCTAGGGACAGCAATAATAGGATTTATTTGTAGGGCATGGAAGAGTTAGAATTCATCACAGGTTTTGCTGTCTGTGGTCGTCTCATTGGGCGGGGGGGTTGCGGTTGTCCCCACTAGCTTTGTGGTCACAAGGACCGGAAGTGAAGGGAAACGCATAACACCGCGATACACGTTCCAGCTACCCTATTGTGTGAATGGGGACTTCCAAATCTTAGTAGCAATAGATAAGCATTGCCCATGTTGTTTAGTTCTGGGCTACAGTGATATTCAAGTCAAAAGGTTTTTTAAGCTATTTCAAATGCTGATGAAATCACCCAGGGGCGTCCCCAGGCCGGGTGTCACTTGGAGCATAGACTGAGTGACACCCCACAGTGACATTATCGCGCATACACGGTCATCTAATTGATGCCTCCCGGCGGCCATCTTGGTGATGGACGCTGGCAGAGAGCGGAGGGGACGTTCACCCGGCGGGATGAGGTATGCCGCCGGGTCCCCTCCTTTCTCCTGACACTGTCGAGCTCTCAGTCCATGACCGAGTGCCCGACTTTTTAGAGGGGGTGACACCAAAATGACTGTCAGTCATTTTGGTGTCACCCCTCCAATGGTGTCACCCAGGGGCGTGCCGCACCCCCCTTGTGACGCCACTGAAATCACCGACAATGGATGCTGCTTCTTTGATGTCTAAAAGTGTAGAATCAGCTGGTCCCCTGAGCACTGGTCCTGACTTCCTGTTGTACGGTGACTCATTTCCCTTTTGGGGTCCTATGGCTCTGCCCTAGTAAGCTGTATGTTACACACAGGCCTAGCAAGGCAAACCCTTCCTTTCTCTTTCTTCCTTCTCCAATCTAGTAGATGAACAGTTGCTGGACTCTGCTCTGTCTCTTCTGATCTTGTACTGGACAGGAAGTTCAGGGAAGCTGAGCTGAGAGACTTGGAGCCGATCAGAAACATGATGAGCGTAAGCGCTTGGGGAAAAAATGTAAAGCAATGCTTTGCTGGGCGATGTGTATTTATCTGATGTGGATTCATTATTGAATACAAGGCTGAGAGTGTAATACGACTTTAAACGATGATTTGTTTTCTATCTACTTGCAGGAGTTTGTTCTGTGATCTGTAAGACGGAGCGCACACAGGGCTGTCAGAGGGATACATTGTGACATGTAAGTGTAACAAGTACAATGCTGACATTGGATCCAGCAGGAAGTCTTGTTGTCTTATGAAAGATAGAAATCACCAGCACTCAGCAAATACAGTTCAAAGAATAACGTCCATTTATTTGGACCAAACGTCACACATATCGCATAATCCAACGTTTCGGGACCGCGCAGGGTCCCTTCATCGGGGCAGAGATGTGACCGATGATCGTCACTTCGAGCACCGCGATTATTACTTGGACCGGGAACGCTGTAGGGAGTGCAGGGGGACTTACTGTTTTCTGGAATTGTTGTCCTATGAGAGTTGTCCATGGAAGGTGATTGATATCAAATGAGGGAATTGAGTCTTCCCGTCTGCAGGATCAGAATTAGTCAGCTGTGGAATTCCATCATTTAAAGAGACACACACACACCACAGACATACACACACCACAGACATACACACACCACAGACATACACACACAGAGCGCCTTCTCCTCCTGAAGTATTATTACAACCAGGGACGTGCGGTCAGGGGAGGCAGAGCCTCACCTAGTATTATGAAGAAAAAAGCTGTCAGTTTCAAGTCTGAAGCTGACAGCTTTTTCTCCATTCAGATCGGCTTGTTACAGGTTACACAGCAGGGAAATCCTCCCCGCTGTGTAACCTGTCATGGCGGCGCTGCATCCGGCTTTTGACAGGTAGTTAGGTTACACAGCAGCGGGCTTCCCCACTGCTTGCGTAACCTAACTTGGTGAGAAAAGAGCTGTCACAGCCTCTACTCTGTGTTAGAGATGTGAGCTCTGCGGATGGCTTGGACCAATGGCAATGGCCATTGGTCCAAGCTGTCCAATCAAAAAATACACACAAAAAAGCACTGAGGCCATCGATATAGATGCCTCAGCAGTCACTCACTAGTGATGAGCAAGTGAGGGACAAGGAGCAGGGAGGCTCCTCCCTTCCTCCTCCCCACACAGCTTGGTTACCGAGCTGGGGGTGGGGCTTCGGCGGGATAAGGGGAGAGCTTCGGCGGGACGGGGGATACCTCACCCAGAACAGAAGGCACGGCACGTCACTGACTACAACAGAGGTCATAACCTAAAGGTGCTGACAAAACGTCACATTTGGTAATGACTGTACTCTTTATTAAAGGTATGCTTCACAAGGAGAAGGCACTTTGTGTATGTTTGTTAAAGCAAGCGTGGTCGAACTCCGCTCCTCCAGCTGTTGTGGAACTACAAGTCCCATGAGGCATTGCAAGACTATGGCAGCCACAGGTGTGACTCCCAGAGGCAGAGGCATGATGGGACTTTGTAGTTTCAGCATAGCTGGAGGGCCAGAGTTTGACTACCCCTGCTTTAAAGGGGAACCTGGGAGGAAAGAAATATGGGAGGCGGTGTCATCCTTAAAGTAGAACTCCAGGTATGCACAGAGTTAACCCTTTGCAGTGAGTCTACCAACGTACTGCTCCTTTTTTCTCTAGGAGGCTGGAATAAAGAAGATATACTGCGGTGCCATTGACTTCAATGCACCGCCATGCCCCCTCCCGCCCCTGAACGCAGAGAGCAGGCCGTTTTGTGTTCCAGTGCATTGTGTTCTGGCCCTTAAGAGAACCATAACCTCCCTGAACCCCCTGCTTTTTTTTTAACCCTATCCCCTTTTACCCATCAGGCAGATTCTCCACTGAATACATAGCAAATATGTGTACATGTATAGCCGGGCGGACGCCATTCGCACAACACTAGCGCCCCTAGATGGTGCTGGCAAATATAGGAATTTCCAGCAAAGCAGAACTCCAGGAGAAAAATAAAAAGATAAAAACAAATAGCCTGTTAAAGATAAAATACCAAAACCAGCTATCTGATCCAGGTCATCTTAAACCCCCCAGCCTTTGATTGGACAGTAAAATGGAGAAGCAGCACCATGATGAGCACATCTATCTGTCACTCACTCTGTTCCTCTCTCCTCCTATCAGCATGCTTCTTGACAGCACATGAACTGATTAGCTGTTGCTTCTTCCTCTCACACTCCAGCCCTGCTGTACAGGGACTACAAGAGGCTGATACCAGGTCGCATTCAGACACTTACACTGCTTGTATATATAAAAAAAATACATTTTATGATGTATTCATGATTACAGAGCTGCATTCATTTGTGTCTTTTATGTCTGCCCAGAGCTCAGCTCTAAGTAGAGCAGCGGTTCTCAACCTCAACCTGAAAGGTTTAATCTGCTCGATCGAGCAGAGTAAACCTTTCGCTGCAATCGTTTTTTTTATTTTATTTCTGACATCGGAGCCCCGACCCGCTTAAGTCAGAAAAAAACAAATAAATCAGCATTGGAATGCATAGCTACATTCCTATTGGCTATTTCACTTTGCAATAGCAAACTAGCACCTGCCCACTGCTGCTGTCAATCAGCAGAGAGGGACCTGCAGTTCTCCATCAGGTCCCCATCTAGTGATTATCATCATTATTATTATTAATAATAAAAGCTGACACCCTCGGCTTGTGTTATATGGTTTGCCATTTTAGCTGTTACAACAGCGGTTCTCAAGCTGTGGGGTCGCTGTGTGATTTCTGCTGTGCTAGGTGAGAGTCCTCCTCAGCCCTCTCCTAGCGAAGCAGTGTCAGTTCTCCCGTCACGCCGCCAGATGTCGCTGCAGCAGCCGCGTCAACCCTAAATTTTACCGTTGGGGGTCACCACAACTTGGCAAATGTTACCAAGGGGTCCCGACCCTTGAAAGGTTGAGAACCACTGCAGTAGAGTTACCTATTTATAGAAAATGCCACTTGTGACCAGTACAGTACAATGTTCATCAGAATCCACGATCCAGAATCCCATAGGGGATTATTCATATTTCCACCATTATGTCCAACTTAAGGTTCCTGCAAACACATGTAAAGCATATGTGTTGTGCTGGGTGCAAGAGCATGCTGAGACTTGTAGTCCTTCTGCAGATACTTTGTTACTGGTACACAGGAAACATCACCAGGGCTTTTAATGTACTATGACTGCCACCTGGTGGTAAAATGTAGAATAGCACCCCCACCATTGTAGTGCGCAGCATGTTCACAATATGCAGTGACAGCGGATTGGTGTATGAGGCCATATTTATGCCACAGTCACAAGCCAGAGCTTCTTTTTATTTGTCATTTTCATTATCATTTTTATTAAAAAGGATAAAACCGGTGCATCCAGGGGCCTAACTAGAAATCACAGGGCCCGATAGCGAAATTTTGTATGGGGCCCTGTGATTTTTAGTTACACCCCTTGCAGAGCCCACCTGAGATCCCAAACAGCCTTCTGAGAGCGACCCTGCATAGACCACCATAGATTCTCTGCAGGGTCTCAGGTAGCCTGGTCACACCCCTGCACACCTCCTACCTGTCAACCCCGATCAGCTGTCAGCCTTCTCCACCACCGGACCCCGCCTCTTTCTCCACCGCCAACGGGCCCCGTCTGCTCCTCCGCCGGGCCCCGGCCTCCTCCACCACAAGCTGCTGGCTGTCACTGACTGTGCAGCGGCTGTGAGGAGGAACG